GCAATTTACCCACACTTATTGAAAAATCGAAGGTACCAGAGGTCCAAAGGCCCTCGGGGCACTGGGAGCGGGTCATTGGTGAAGGAGGGATTTACTCATCCTAAAGCTAAAATATCACTTTTCTATCTATTCTCCTCTTTGTTTTATTCAAAAAAACCAGCGGCACGTTTGAATGGGATGACCTAATAGCTGCGTTAAACTGGCCCTTGTGGGTAACCAGATCCGCCATATCGGAAGATTCACCGCTGTTGCGACTCCTATGCGCATTACAAAGATCCAGGACCTTAGGCTCCATGGCTGTCGGCGCCCTGTTGTAGCGGCAGAGAATCACTGCAGGTGCCGCATGGACGACTGCCGTATTGTCGCCCTTGAACTATCTCGTCCCTCGTCGTCTACTCTGTCGTCTGCGCGCTCGGTATTCCCTTACCGTTTAAACAAGTGTGAAGAGCTTTAGAGCATTTTAAAGCCCTCATAATAGTAATCCAATGAGCTACTAAGCATCTGTGAATTCATAATCTTCAGGGCTCGCTATAAGAGGCTGTGTCCTCAAGTTTTTTACAAGCTCAAACTTCAACTTCATGTAACCGGCATGAGTACGTCCCAGAATCACTGTGCCTTTCGCAATGACGTGCCGCTGCTATCCCTTCTCTTTCCTGTTTTGAAGAGGTGCGTGCGTACTGAGGACTGACCCACTATTTTGAATATACACTCCAATGAGCGACGGGTCATGGTGGGGATAGGATGACCGGAGGGTATAGCTGCCTCCGTAATAACTTCCAGTCCCACAAAACAATCTGACATGTCATCTCAAAGTAACGGCTATTTACGTACTTTCTCGACTGGATCGTTTGTCGAGCGGTGCCAGCGTATTTTACTGCTGCACCATGTCGTCCTCCCGAAGAACCTACCTGGTTATATTGCCGGTGACATGTTTGCCATTCGTGAGTGATTCTTTCCTTGTACTTCGCTGAACGAAAACTCGGAATTGCTTTCGCCCATTTCCAAATCATTCAAGCCTTTTGAAATGAGCTTTCCAACATCAACACTGAAAAAGGCAGCGAATCGAACGCTTTCAAAGCCACAGTCCGCGGTGGTCATATGGGCGGAGCTAGCTCATCACTGTGAGCTCCCTTCTTCTAATGGTATGCAGCCGAAGAGGAGGTTGTGATGTGATTTTTAATGAAGGAGTCCTAGTGATAGACCTGACCACACCCACACTATAAGCGCAAACTAAATCTTCAAAGATGGAAATTTTGGAGCTGGGCGCCACGTGCCTTGGAGGGACTGCTCCATTATATTTGTGCCACGTCATGTGTGGTCGTCTGCTCCTTCTCACCGAGACAGTGTCACTTTTTAGTATGACTCAGCCAACGTCAGAATTCCGTCCTTTCACCTCTCGCAACACTGGAGCCACCATCAAACTCTCCCTGGCCTTGGCAGGACAGGGTGAAAATACGAGCAAGAAAGGCAAAGACATGAGATTTGCACCAATTTTTTTTTGTTCTGACCAAAAACTCCGGCCGTTGATGCGCTCCAGTGAGCCTCGCTGGAGAGTGACCTTCCGAGGCACATAGCGTCTCCAGCTATTTGAACCGATTACTCACATACTGCAGTAGCTCATAGTCCCGTTAACCAAGACGATGCCGATGGAATTCTCGTCCCAACGAAATATAATCGGACGGTAGTCACGAAATGGACATTCGTGTGACTTCTGTGCAATGGAACAATAAATCTGGCGACTGCTCTCACAGAGAAACTAGCCATACAGTTGATACCGTCGCAAGGGGGGGGGGTATATCAAGAAGATGGATGAGCAACCGCGGTATCATGTATCACCACTGATTGTTTTCTTCCTGAATCGATCAATAGCCGACCACACTAGCAGAAAAGGAGCTAGGGCGGGCTCATTTCAACCCTCCTGAAACCGCCCCGATCTCAACTATAGTAAGGCTGGCCACGCTTTTTCTACGCATTTGCGCCACCCCCTCCATACTGATCTTCCAGTGATTTCCAACTCCAAGTAGCCTTAGAGGGTGGGTCTAGTCTCGCCTACTGCCCCTCCAACCCCCACCTGATTCAGATTTAACCTCAAACTTTCTGAAGAGGCTGTACTACCCCTAGAGATTGCTTGACAAAATAGTACATACCTTTAAGAAAACCCCTTTAGGCATAGGGCCATGGGAGAAGAACAGCTGGCAATTTCCTTTCAGAACGTAGTAAAACGACGGCTCCACATTGCCCGTTGAAGAACTGATGAAGTCTTGAATACCGTTCCTCTCCTTGTCACACATTTCGATTTCGTCAAGGCTCGTCACTGAAATGTCGACATTTGGACAATTATCTGACCAAAAAAGGACCAAGTTCGCCTTACCGTATGACACACACAGACTGAGCCAGGCATAGACGGCAAACTTCCGCATGGACAATCGATCTATAGGGATGAAAGTAATCAAATGAACATCACTTGTAGGTACTTTCGAAATGATAAGAGGATGCTAATCAACACATGTGCTAGAGACCATTCGTTGATTGATACAGGTGCGCGCATATCAGCTTTCAGACTTTTCGAAGCCGCTTCAAAAGGAGGGTCCTTCGATAGCTAGTGTGGGGGAAATGTGTTTAAAGGCAGTACGGATGTCGAGGTGTTAAGCAACTCAGAACTGAAGGGAGCAGAGAGGACTATTGGAAACGCTCTCTATAAGACCCCTGCTGGTTCCAAACATAACAAGAACATAGGACGAAGAGACGCTACGTGTGGGGAAAAGTACATACGATATGATGGAGAAAGAATTCAGAAGTGGTAGAGACTCCACCGCTACTAATCGGTGGTAAAACGTAACGGTAAGGCGGAGGATGATTACGGGGGCGGGGACTGCCTACCCTGACAAAGCCTTGGAGTTCTTAACAAGCAGGTTCGTGACGCGGAGACAGGACATCTTTTGGGCTTGCGGATCGCGCCCACTTCTGTAAGGAAAGGCTTTTCCAAATCTCAGGATATCTGTCAACCGTGGAGCCTCTCTCCACCTTCTTTTTCCTTCCTCCTCCTCCCCTTTTTCCTTCCTTCTTTCTCATTCTGCTCCTTTCGAATAGAGGTCAGAATATACAATGAATACCACGTCCGATCAAGTAGGTGCTGGTGCGAATGTCGCGCACGGAACACCATTTTCCACGCCGCTTTCAGCACGTCACCGGAACGCAGATGTTATGCCCTGCACCCTCTGAAGTAGAAACACAACCGTGACCTGAACCTATTCGCCACATACAACAAGGATCTCCAAGTACTATGCCGTTACCCAGAACCCAAAGAAACTGTTGGCCACATTTATTTACACTATCTCCAATATACATCCAAAACATTATTACTCGTACAAGAATGGCAAAAATTTTCGCGATACCTTCAAGAAGTCATGACATTTCGACGAACTAAACGAAAACTACTGCACACATACACCTGTTTTGCACGAGTACAGGCCTGCTCACAATCGAACTTAAGACACACTCCGCGGTAATAGTAGAGCTGAGTAATGGGCAAACCTTTCAACTATAGCTTCTTCCGGATTCCGCGCCTCTATTTTTATCGCCCTACAAGAGGAGCATGCCAGTAAGGAAGGTTCAGTAGCCGCTTCTCCCCTTCTAATTATCGCGGAATGTGCCCTTAACACCCAATGAACATAATAGGATAATTTGCCATTTGAACTTCCAAAGAAACTTCACACTAGAATTTACCAGTCGTTTGGCTTATACCATGCCGAACCCGATTGTGATTAGGCTTACCTACGCGCTGCAAAACCGAAATGGCCAATAACCAGAACAATGAAATATCACAAATACTACCATTTCTCTTATTACAGAATATTGACTAGTAAAATCTTGAGCCATTCTTAAACTACAGAGAAAATCTTGTCTTGGCCTCCTGAGATATCATTTTCGCTATCGCTAGACTTGATGTCGCTCCCGGTGATGGTGCATTACGTACATGAAGCACCATTTTCGACAACTGAAACAAACACGGATTACGGTAGAACCACTTCTGCACAAGGAGTTCTATAGATGTTAAAGGATAGAGCTTTAGACATCGATCAGTCTCTCTTCGGGATAAACCACGCATTTTACTTCCACTCAAAATCGCCAGTGTCCATTAAATGTGATATAGCCCAATAACACTTTGCAGAGCCAACGTATTAGCCTATGTATTGGTCAGTGTTCTAATCTATCACACAAATTTTTCCAACGAACTTGGAAGTAGAAGGCTCAGTCGGCCTGAGTAGGAGCCAACCCTGGGAGGGTGCGCGATAAACGAGCCAACTAGCACTATACGGTTCCCGCTCAAGGGTCCTACAAATTTAGGGAAAGTAACGGAATTCGTTTCAACGATACTCCCTCGAACCTTCAATGCTGGACGCAGGTGTAGCCCAGGTCTTTCGTACATCCTACGTGAAGCTGGCCAGCGCTACATACCGCATTTTACTTAGCTTACTGAAATTTCTTTACACTCTCTTGATACTTCGTGTCATATACGCGGAACGGCGATATACTTAGCTTTAATCAAAGTGTAAAAAAGGAGAGGAAACTCACTGGTCCTGTACCGCTGTCAAAAACGAAGTCGTCAACAAGGTTACCTTCCGGATCCATGGCTTGAGCGCGCACACCGGTAAAACCTCTGAAAATCAACGAACTCTCGCTAGTCCATTTAAAGAAAAAATTCGGTAATAATCCGAGTTCACAATCGGGTCTGCAATTCCTTTTATATGTTTCATAAAGTTCATTGAAATTGAAAGGTTCCTTAGGGTTGAACTCTTTGCACTACCGTAGTTCGGGAAGTCATGCCGCCAGACTAGGCCTTGTGGACTCCTCTGGTCTGTCTTCTACTATGTCTTGAAGATAGATCATTTTCACTTTAAATCGGACACTTTTCAAATCAAATCGGACACTTTTCAAATCAAATCGGACACACCCCTTACAATAGGCAGTTGATAACTATACCACACTAGGTACTGCTGCAAGCCCCGCCCCAACACCCCGCCCACTTTTCAGCGCGGTCACGGTTTTCCAAAATGTTTTATGAAATCTGCTTCTTCGACTTTTTTTCACTTTTGCTAGTTGCACACACACTTCAACTGAAAAGGATTGGTACCGATGCAGATCTGACTCCGCCCACTTCACAATCAAGTGACGTAAGAAGCTCTGAACTTTTATAACTTTTTTTGACGTCTATTTTCCACATTCAACCTTCACAAAACGAATATAGGCATGCACTCGCACACTAGCACACTAGGCCCCGCCCCTCTGACCACGCCCACTTTCGTTTTTCGCGGAATTTTGATTTTTCTTCCGAATTTTCACTTTTTTAGGCTGTGACAAGCGGCCCCGCCCACTAATGGAAGCTCCGCCCACTTTGTAGAAGCCCCGCCCACTTTTCAAAAATGATGCAGATCGGCGAGCTAGTGACCGTACTAGCAGGTTATGGCCTCTCCCGTCACCCGGAACAAAGTTTCCTTTTTTTCTGGTCTTTCCTTTTTTCATTCTATGTGACGGGAGAGGCCATAACCTGCTAGTACGGTCACTAGCTCGCCGATCTGCGTCATTTTTGAAAAGTGGGCGGGGCTTCTACAAAGTGGGCGGAGCTTCCATTAGTGGGCGGGGCCGCTTGTCACAGCCTAAAAAAGTGAAAATTTGGAAGAAAATCAAAATTCCGCGAAAAACGAAAGTGGGCGTGGTCAGAGGGGCGGGGCCTAGTGGCTAGTGTGGCGACGTGCCATGACTATATTCGTTTTGTGAAGGTTGAATGTGAAAAAATATACGTCAAAAAAGTTATATAAAAATTCAGAGCTTACGTCACTTGATTGTGAAGTGGGCGGAGTCAGATCTGCATCGGTACCAATCCTTTTCAGTTGAAGTGTGTGTGCAACTAGCAAAAGTGAAAAAAGTCGAAGAAGCAGATTTCATAGAAACATTTTGGAAAACCGTGACCGCGCTGAAAAGTGGGCGGGGTGTTGGGGCGGGGCAGTACCTAGTGTAGTATTATGAACTGCCTATTGTAAGGGGTGTGTCCCGATTTGATTTGAAAAGTGTCCGATTTGGTTTGAAAAGTGTCCGATTTGGTTTGAAAAGTGTCCGATTTGGTTTGAAAAGTGTCCGATTTGGTTTGAAAAGTGTCCGATTTGGTTTGAAAAGTGTCGATTTGGTTTGAAAAGTGTCCGATTTGGTTTGAAAAGTGTCCGATTTAAAGTGAAAATGGTATAAGGGGATCACTATCACGGTTGAAAGGCTCCAGAGAAAAAGACATCACCGCGTGTTTCACCCTTAAAATAAATACCAACTGCTTTCCTCCTCTCTTCTTCTCTCCCTTTTCCTTCATTTCCTCCCAATGAGGCTCAGCTAATTGAAGCGACGAGTATATGCGTCCGCACGATTGCAAAGAAATTTTCTGGCTGAAAGATGTCACCCTCCCCCTTCCCCGACCTAAGGAATGTCCAATTCTCGAATTAAACGAAAAAGGATCACCCTGAAAAAGGTCACCACAGTCTTGAAAACTAAAGTAAGCTTCTGTACAAACCTTGTCACATCGCTTAACCTCAATTCAGGGATGAATCGTTGTAGTTGTTTCACTTGAGCGGATATAAAAATACCACGATATAATTCGGTTAATCCATATTTCAAGTACTTGAAAGTCAATTTTCGCATGCCACTGAACAATAATCGTAAATTATTCGTTACTTACGTTTAAAGCTGGTCTGAAACGAAGTGGTGCAGACAAACCACAAACCTGTAAGTCAAGGACTCGAAGAGATCATACGGTGAGATTTGGAAATAACCGTATCCTTCTCGTTTGTACGCCAGCACAGCATTCGGACCCAAAATAATGTTACCATCCATGCGTGGGGTGAAATGGACGCCGAGGAATGGCAGTCCTGGATTGGGCACCTACAAAGAATAATTTTTTGAAATAAACAAATATTAGCCGACATTTTTAGCACAGCTGTAGCACAGGTCCGTTGCCTAACATGACACAACACGTTAGTAACGAGTAATCCGTAGCGTGTCATCGCCAGTGACGTCATAAACGTGTTCTGTGACGCCGGTGACACGTCATCAATATCCTAAGAATGTGTTCATACTTTGCGTCAGCGTTCTGAGCAACTAGGACAGTGGATCCCGATCGCGTTCCGCGACACCTATATTCCCCTAATCGCTCAAAACGCTGACGCAAAGTATGAACGCAGCCTTACAGATAAGGTGGTGGTACCTGTGCTACATCTGCGCCACTTAACTATTATGAAAATCCTGCAGGCGAACTCATAACGAAAACTCACAGGGTATATGTTGCCTCTGCAGAGGTATCGTTTTTCTGGTTTCAAGTAGAGATATTCTCCACGGAATGGAATAATCTTTGGCAGTGGTGAACATCCGGTGAGCTGTGCGACACGATCAGACTGCAGCCCCGTACAGGTGATCAGATTTTTGGTGTGAATATGGCACTGAAATACCTTGTTGTACATCTCTCTATGGATACTGTTTTGCCAACGGGAGGAAAGGAATTCGACTACTAAGGCCTCAAAACGCCTAAGGAGAGGCATTTTGGCGCACTGCTGTGCGGTAGCCTCCACTTCACACATGTTCTTTCAAGCTGTAAATTGTTGAGAGCTTCGTTCCTTCTTTGAGAGTCTCTGAATAGCGCCAACGACAGAACTAATACACAACAACAAGAAGCGCAGTTCGGCTTGGTGGGGGCTACAAACACTGACAGCCCGGAAGAGAGACTAGAGACGGCGCCAAAGAGAGAAAGATTAGTGAGACATCAGACACGGTCCCAAACAGATACGAGTGCAACCATGTCACCGATCACTGCTGGGTGGAGCAGGCAACCCGTTGGCGTGGCCAGTGTTGCAAGTGACTCCCTCATTGACCCTATCACTAAATTTTGAGCCAAAGGGCACAACAAGTACTTACGGGCCTGCTTATCTTGTATAAAGAAATCTTCACCACGAAATGGACTTTTAACAAAACTTATGAAGCCAAAGTATAGAAGATATGACAATAAATCATTTCACATAATACTTACATTTTGTGAATTAGAATGCAGAGCAATAGGGAAGTTTGGATCTGGCGAAGAGGCTACTGATTTCAGAGGGTAATTTATGTAGACCTGAAACGAAAGTCGATTCACATAGTAAATGGGCTCCGTCCTTTTGGAGAGTGAAAATTTTACTTACAGTTCCGCCTTTCTTTTCAAAGTCTTTAGCGAGTGCTCTCGCCACCTCTCCCCAGTCAACAACACCCGTATGAGGAGACCAGAGTGCTTTGAGACCCTGAAATCCAAAACCAATAGATTCAAGATCTTATCCGAACAGCTCTTCAAGACAGATTGCCCAAATCAAATTCTGTGCTACTCTCTCTTCAGGCCGCGTGCAAACAATCGTCAGTCTGGGCGAATCGGCGACAGGTGATTTCGCGAAAAGGAACTCCACGTATAGACCTGGGCTACAGTTCTCCTGGAGAGGGCGATATCTCTCAGTCAACCTCCTTTGACGCTCTCTGACGTCATCTCTCTCAATGCCCCTCGTCCCTCTTCTTCTGCGTCTTTGTAAGTTTGCTCCCCCCACTCCCGCTGAACTTCCAGGAGGACGTGTGCACGGGAGAGGAGAGACTATCGATTATATTCTGCACTGAACTATTAGGTTGGCGTTAAAGTTCTGTGTCAATTTTTCCAATTACGCTTCCTCTTATAGAGGCGTGTAAGATAAAAATTACATAGCAATGTTACTGCGGGGTTCTTGCCAAGTTTTGAGCACCTCATGGATGCCATCGCTTCACAATGCAGGCCGGCGCGACGCAAAGTTGGACATCATCTCAATTTTGACTTGGGCTCGGGTCGTGGAGGTTTTCTCGTCCATATAACGGTTGAGTACGGGAGGCAACTTGCAGTTAGAAGGAGCAATGTCTGGCTACACCAGTGCAAGGGGAGAGCCATCCAGCTCTATTGCATGAGGTACGGCTCGAACTTTTTTGGACGGAGTGGGCTGCACCATCACGTTGAAGACGGACTGTGCGGACGAATTTTTCCCTCTGATCGAATCGCTTTAGATCTCGTAGCTGCTTTGCGTACGCATTGACCGAGGAAGCAGCTTCTTCATCCAGCACTTTCACGACCCGCAGCTCCCTCAATCTGAGTTCACAGGTAACCCAAACCTCACTTCGTCATCAAAACTGTAGGCCCTTGCTTTGAATGATTGAGGGCATCTTCCTTATCCAGCTCTATTATTTTTGACGTTTTCCTTATCCAGCTCCATTATTTTGGCATCTGCAGCTGTCATGCTGGCGTCAGGGTGGTGGAAGAAAGAGTTTGAGGAAGCGCTTGGAGGGGTCGGTGCCGATGGTAGCGGATAACATTCTTGTCCATATTGCAGAAGAAGAAGCAGGAGTCAAGCGAGTGGTACTAGAAAGATCACTCCTTGTTGTATAAGTGCTCACATTACCGGTTACCCCTCTTCAGGTAATGGGTGAGTATTTTGAGTCCGAAAAAATATGACAGAACATATATTTCGTACAGGGCGTGCGTCAGAAGATTATGGATGCAGCGAAAACAAGGGAGACGAGGGATATCATTCGAGATAACGACATAAAGTGAAGGTTTACCGGTGATCCCGTCCCCTCCCCTCCAAGGGGAATACAGCATACAGCCCTAGGAAAAACAGCGACTCGGGAGAATCGACGTTCAAGGATTACACGGGCATCGACTAACTCCACCCACCAGCGTGTCGTGCATTTTACGAGCACACTATTAGGCCGGGGTGTACCTCCTTCATAATCTACAATCTAGGTATTCCCCGAAAGGTGGGTTCTTCAAAAAAAATACGTATGCGTCCTCTGTCGTATCGCTCATCAACTGCGGATTTGCTCTCCGACCGCAGGAGGGGACTGATCGGCACTGGCTGCTGGTGCTTCGAGAAAGCATAGAGGAAGAGGAGGGCGTCAGGTTATGTGAAGGCAGCGCCTACAATCCTGTCAATCACACTCTCTTGAAACTTAAAGACACATGGTACGCTCAAACACATTGAGGGTGTATGAGACTATCAGCCCCCCAGCTGTCGATGTGTCGTGGTCCCCCCGCCCAAAACTGCACGGGGTCAGAGTACGGGACCGTGGGAAAGTCGTAATTCCTTGCTACGCCGCCCGTTTTTGCAAACTCACGTTTTTACTAACACCGTCCGCGCGGCGCGGTCGCGTGCAGCTCTCTTGGCTTTTTGCCAAGTCCTGTAATTGCGCTTTGGAATACAAGTACAACGCAATTTCTTTATGCGGATAACATTTTAGGTTCTGCAAAATAAGAACTGAAGATGATGACGAGGGCTAGAACTCAAGAGCAACTGTGCTGCTTCTGCAGCCCTCGCAGGCCGCGCATTCCCACAAAACATCAAAATAAAAACGGCCTAAGCGTCCCACTCGTTAGTTTGAAGTATTTCTATAGCATTAGAGCCGGATTCGAGCCGGATCGCAGAAATGCACACGCGATTTTAATTTATTGCGTTTCCTTAGTTTTTTCAATTTTGTTTTATTTACATCTACATTCGTTGTTGTTCATTTCTAGCCTTTGTCATCTTCATCACCTTCTATTCGGACTTTGAAGCATGAGCAATACCTCAAATGTTAGGAAATTGCGTTTTGCTTGTATTGTCATGTTTTATTGTCATTGTCCGTTTTTATTGTCATGTTCTGTGGGAATGCGCGGCCTCTGGGATGCAGAAGCACCACAGTTGCTCTTGAGTTCTAGCCCTTGTCATCATCTTCGGTTCTTATTTTGCAGCACCTAAAATGTTATCCGCAAGAAATTGCGTTGTACTTGTATTCCAAAGCGCAATTACAGGACTTGGCAAAAAGCCAAGAGAGCTGCACGCGACCGCGCCGCGCGGATGGTGTTAGCATAAACGTGAGGGCGGTGTAGCAAGGAATTACGACTTTCCCACGGCCCCGTACTCTGACCCCGTGCAGTTTTGGGCGGGGGACCACGACACATCGACAGCTGGGGGGCTGATAGTCTCATACACCCTCAATGTGTTTGAGCGTACCATGTGTCTTTAAATCACCGTCATGAGCGGGCGCGAACTTCTCCCGAAATCACGACTGGCGTGCACCAAGAATCAGATCGCTCCTAGCTCCTCTGGTGGTTGACGCGCGCTACAGCGCTTTGACGCGCTTCATCGCAAACTCTGCAGGCTCAAAAAACTCGAAGGTTTTTCTGCGTGGTGCAATTCCAAATCGGTTCATACACCAATATCACATCATACCTTACAATACGGCTCATACTCCTTAATTTGTGAGCCATCGATCATCTTGATATCCTTACAGTTATTCTTTTGAGATCTTTCATAGAGGTTCTGGAAAGAAGACGACACTAAAAGCATTAAGCAGGCAACATTCAAACCTATATTAATTACGATCCATAAAGCTACTAAGGCATTTTGACAGTTGATATCGCCGCAATCAGCCAGGGAGTGGGAGTGTCAGTAGGCATGGATAAGCCCATCCGCGACGTTTTCACCACATGTTTTCTACTTCCGAAACCGATCACTATTAGTAGAAAACACAACCTGAGGCGGGCTGTCGCTCCTGACCCACCCCATTGATTGCGGCGATATCAACCATAAGCTCTATCCAGAGGAAACCAACATCTAATCGCGGAATTTCTTCTGGTTCAACAGCCACAATCAGCTTCCCGGCTTTCTTGTGCGGAAAATTATTCTCCTCGAAAAACTTGTAGGCGAGGGCGTGACCTGAATCAATTGTACAATTATTCTTTTACAATGGCAGTTCATGAGAGCACACTACAGTGCAATTCAAGTAAACAAGAATAGGGATGAACCTTCGACGCAGAGCTTCGCCTTCAAAGTTCCAGGAGTATAGTAAATCCCTGCATGAATCACACCACTGTTGTTACCACTCTGATGTGGTGCTAAAATCACAATTAATATCACAATTGGAATTTTCAATAATCGTAGACTTGAATCTATCTTGTGAACTGAACGGCGCTGTTCGGCTCAATGAGGGGGGGGGGGCTGCAATTTCACTAGCTCCTGTTTAATAACACGTCTCACGTCAAGACTTGTAAACCATTGTTAAGCGTAAACGAAACTCCTGCTGCTGCATATTTACAGGATATTACAGGTCTCCACAGAAGAAGTGGCAGTGATCTAAGAGCCAACAAAAAATTATTCCACCTCCCCCCTCCAAGCCGATTTATGCCAATTAAGGAATAGGACAGGAAATGCGGGCTGGTGAAACAACCGCTCGATCTGAACGGCACCGTCGTCGTGGGCCTGGGTCTTGCAAAATATTTCCATAGTGAAAATACTAGAGGCCTAGGTGCAGTTCAGAACAGCTGTTAGACCGCGTTCATAGTTCGCGTCCGCATTTTGAGCGTAGCAGCGTTTTGTTGTTTGCATGGGTAGTTTTGAGCTCTTGGCGGGCAGTCGCTGAAAACGATATCTATACTTTCCTGCTCGCTCAAGACGCTGGTGTCCGCACAAATAAAGCGCAGAAATCCTTCACTCACATAATTTGTTCTCCTTTTCGAGCAAGCAGATTTTCAATTGTGGATATTCCATTTTCAGCTGACG